CTGCGCAGCTGTCACTACAGAGGCTCAGGGCCCCTAGTCCCGCCTGGACCCCAGGACGCTAACTCCCGGGCAGCTCCGCAGCAGCCGGGTAACCCCACGCACCGTGCCTGGGTCAGCACCTGGCAGAGGGGGCGCTTCAGGTCCTCGTTGTGTCTCCGTCACCCGTGGAACATCCGCCCCAGGGGGTCGGGACTTCTGTCCAGTGTGCTGGTTCAGGAGGCACTCCGTAACGTCCGCCGGACGAACCCAAACACGCACTGACCCTGGCCTTCCTGCCGAGAGGGTCTCCCACCAGCGTCTCTCATTCAGCCAGACTGGACTCCCCCTCGCTCCCCCAAACACACTCGCGCCTGCCCGTCCTGTTCTTCCGCGATAAGATGTCCACGCTCCCCTTCACGTGCGCCGGGCAAAGGCCTGCCCGCCCACGGGCTTGTCAAGTGCCGCCTGCCCCGTGAGGTCTTCGCTTACTCCCAAGGCCAAGGGGACCCCGCCCCTCCCCCACATTCCCAAACCACTGTGTCTGCTCCTCTCCTGGGACATCACCAAACAAACGTACCTGTGTTCCACCACCCCCACCACCACCACCCCCCCGCCCCCCAGCCCTCTCCCTACAAGGCCTCTCTGGAGAGGGTCATGGAGAGGCCAGAGGGCCCTCGAGGGCAGGCGCTGTGTCTAAGGTGAGGTGTCTAAGGTGAGGTGCGCCACTTCCCTGGAGAAGAGAGGCGGCAGCGCCCTGCTCAGAGCACAGTCAGAATCCCTGAAACCAAGCAAATCAAAGGAGTGCCGCCGGAAGCCGAACCACGGAGCGGTGGGAAGTGTGTACAGCGCCCTGTCCTCCTGCATTTGGGCCCCACTTCCTCTAATCCTAAGCGGTCAAATATGTCACAAAATTTGCTGGCATAATTAAATTGCTTCCATGTGTGTATACGTGCAATTTAGAGGGCACGGGAAACAGAAGTACAAATCTCGAGCCAGAATATTTTTGGTTGCCGTTTCCTGAAAACAAAGTTTGCTGCAGCTAGAAATCTGGCTGAGGCCGTGTAACCACGTTTAATACGAACCACAAAGCCCCACCTCCAGCAAAACCTATCTCCCGGCGAAACCGAGGTTAGACCGTCAGGCCTGCCTCCGGGCGTTCACTGAGCTCACATCTGCTGACCGATCATGACCTCCGAAACGCCATGGCGGACACGCCATCAGTTCCAGAGAAATCCACCGACGTTCAGGAGAAAGACCCCACCCAGTGAGAGGAGGGTTTCTCTTTTCCTGAAAGCATTAAACTCACATGTTCTCATGCAGCACACTGTCGCGTGTCTTCACGTGTAACACAAACGCTTACCCACCTGAGCGGCCTGCGGCAGGTGGCAGAGGGCAGCGGCTTTCAGGACAGAGGCGGGCCAGGCTGCCTGAGCTGAGCCTTGGCTCTGGTGTCTGCTCCAGTGGGACCGTGGACAAGCCACGGAACCTCTCGTCCTATGCACTTGTCTACCACACAGGGATAGCAACGGTGCCAGCCTTCTGAGACCGGCCTGTGGGGTAAGATCTGCGCTGCTTCAGACACTGACCGACTTTCCTCCTAAGAGCTGTGTACAAGTTCATTAGAGGAAAAGCTTTAAACGCCCCAAATGTAGAACAAAAACTAAGCTGGTTCTTCAGTGACATTTTCTTAGACCTAGGACACGGCAATTATATGCTGAATCTCTGACTTACACGTATTCTCATACAAGATAAGCATTTTGAGAAGACCAAGGTCGCCCTGACCAGTGTGGCTCCGTGGGTTGGGCGTCAAGTTCAGCACCGCCCCTGCGCAATGACACGTGTCTTCGTTCACCAAGGCCCAGAGTGGCCACAGTGAGCGTCACCGGAACCCTGCTGAGCAGAGCCACGCCCACTGCTTCAGGAAAGCCACTCCCCCCAACCTCGCCAGCTGCTGTCGGAGTGTCACAGAGACACCACCCCAAAGGTGTGTTTCGGTAAGTGTTCGGTGTGAGCTGACCACCCCTTCTCTTCTGGGACTGATTCTGGTGGGCGTTAAGGACAGAGAAGTCCCTAGGTGCTGTCTGTGTCCTGAAGAATACGCACACTAGCAGAAAAGCAGTAATTAATGATGAACCTGCAATGAGGATATGCAAAGAATCTCGTCTGGGAAAGTCAGGGGAGCCGAGAGGAAGCAGGTGGCGTCTGACAAGGGCCGACGGGGCCTGTGCGTCTTCACGGAGGGCCGACGGGGCGTGTGCGTCTTCACGGAGGCCTGACAAGGGCCGACGGAGCGTGTGCGTCTTCACGGAGGCCTGACAAGGGCCGACGGGGCGTGTGCGTCTTCATGGAGGTCTGACAAGGGCCGACGGGCGCAGTGCGTCTTCACGGAGGCCTGACAAGGGCTGACGGGGCGTGTGCGTCTTCACGGAGGTCTGACAAGGGCCGACGGGGCGTGTGCGTCTTCACGGAGGCGAGGCGGCGGCGGTCCAGTCGCTCCAGGAAGGGAACGCGCACGTGCAAAGGCAGGAAAGGCCGGGAGGCCGGGAGGACTGCGAGCTGTGCGTGGTGGCTGGCAGGGGAGGCGGGGCAGAGGGGGAAAGGAAGGATCACGGAGGGCCTCAGGACCGCGCCTCGGAGCCCAACCGCACCCCGCAGCAGCTGTGCGTGCCCGAGAGGGGAGCGCGGCTCCGCGCCGGCAGGACAGCCGACGCCGCAGGAGAAGAGGAAAGTCAGAACAGAGCAGCGGCCCTCTCACATCACCCGTGCTCTCAGCAGCACTCGTCCCAGCAGCTGAACGGGGCTGGACGGTAACCCCACCTTCCATCAATAAACAACTCGATAAGCAAAATGTGATACACATGCACAGCGGAACACGACTCAGCCCAGAAGAGGAAGCGGTTCCAACACCCGCTACAACACGGATGACCCTTGAGGACATCGTGTCAGGGAACTAAGGCAGCCAGTCACAAACGGACGGATACTGCGTGATCCCACGTTCACGGAACATGGTCAAATTCAGAGACAGAGACAGCAGGATGGGGGCTGCCGAGGGTCAGGGAGGGGGAGCTGCTCATGAGCACAGTTCCGGTGTTGTGAGAGGAACACATTCTGGACGTGGGTCCCCTGACAGTGTGGACAGACTTCATCCTTGAACCGCACACTTGACAGTGGTTAAGAGGGTGAGTTTGCGTCGTGTGTCTTTTACAGTCCAGCCAGAGGTGACCTCAGGGGCCCCGGGGCTGTGCCACGGACAGGGAACTTGCAGACTCTGAGCCGGGCCCCTGCAGGCTCACCGGCGGGGTGGCCCAAGAAGCGGAGGCGGCGGAGCAGGGGACGGCACACCACTCTGCTGACGGCCACAACCTTTCGTGAGCAAGACGGTCCATTCGCTGACTCAGGCTTCCCCTCCAAAAGCGTTGTTTTGCACCTGCTCTGTGCCAAGCGCGGCCTGGGACACGTGAGCCCCACAGAACAGCAAGCCATGTAACGGCCGTGTCACCCCACAGGCAGGTCTGTGACGAGGTCCCACTCACAATAAATCATGTGATGAGATGATGGCAATTCTCCTTGAGAAGCAAAATAAAGGAGGAGGTAGCCCTTGAGTGGAAAACTGCTGTGTGGGGGGCGGTGGCTACAGCTACCGCGTGAACGACCGTGGGAAACGTGCCGTCTGCCATCCTGGTTCGGTGAGATCCCGAGTGGGTGTAGAGACGGATCGCCCGACAGCGCGTGGAGAGGACAAGCTCGACACTAAAACGCAGCTGCGCTGTGTCCCCGGCACCGCGGGCCCCTTACCACGAAGCTGTGGCTGACTGGAGTGCTGCTTATCACGTTACTCGTTTTAGGTCGAAAAACTACAAATAATTCTTTTTTAAGAATAAAAGTATGCACAGGTGGTGGTGGCAGGAAGCATGGATCTAGAAATATCACATTTAAACTGACTTAAAAATGTGGACTTTTCTTCTTTGTTAAAAACACTGAAAGAGCCCTGGCTGGCATAGCTCAGTGGATTGAGCGCGGGCTGCGAACCAAAGTGTCGCAGGTTCGATTCCCAGTCAGGGTACATGCCTGGGTTGCAGGCCATGACCCCCAGCAAGCACACATTGATGTTTCTCTCTCTCTTTCTCCCTCCCTTCCCTCTCTAAAAATAAGTAAATAAAATCTTAAAAAAAAAAAACACTGAAAGAGAAAAAGCACCACCGAGCACCATGCCAAAGGGGGGCTGCGGCTGAACTGTCAGGACCTGGCACCCGGGAAGAATGTCAGAGCCACAGCAGTTACACCAACTGTGACCACGATGAAAAGATTAACATTGTTTAAGGTGTTTGATCATTACGTCAGTTTTTGGTCATCAGACTTCTGAGTATAAGTTTTATTTTCCTAAGACAACAACACTTCCAACAAGGTTCGGGAAAGCACGTCCTGTTGGAGTGGAAAGAGAACTGTGAGTCATTTTTTTTCAGTCCTCTGATTTTATGGGCCAAGAAGCCGAAGGCAAACCGGGGACAGACCTGCGCCATCCCACACAGAACGTCTACCCGAGGCAGGGGTCCCAGCCCACTCTGGGGGGCACTCGCTGCTCCCTCGCTGCAGCAGCCGGGACACAGGGCGCAGCCGGGCTCTGGCTGCCCAGGGGCCTGGGAGCCCGCTGGAAGCTGCGGGCCTGGTGGAGCAGATCCTGGACTGCGACACCGCGGAGGGGAACCACGGGCACTTTCCCAGCACGCACGGTACGACGGAGCTGTGCAGATCCCGCCATAAATCACGGCTCTGTCCCTAGCGCGTTTAATGCATCTTCACTGAACAATGGCGCCAACCTGGATTCTCAGCCCCACGGTAATCACTGCCTGTTGTGGCTGAGCTGTAATGTTAACCAACCAATTTAAAACCATTACTGACACAGAAACATGTATTTAGAGATTTTGTGCCAACTGAGAAACCGCACAGTCTTTCAGTCATGTGTACAGGATACTCTATATGGAATGCTAAATCCTCAAAACCACACTGGTTTTGGGGGTTACCTTTCTTGATTGCTCATTTTGGCGTGCATGGCTTTGACCAATTCCGGGCTTTTCAGAAAATGGTCCGTAATAATCAAGAACCTAAGGAAAAAGGAGGAAAAGGTTTGGTTAATAGAAACGCAGCGGAACAGACACGGCCTTACCTGCCCTGCAGGGGCGTCTTACACAGGAAAGCACGCATTTTCGCTGCATTGTTGAGCAGCTGTAATGTTAACATGTTTTAAAGAGGTTCACACACTATTTGTCTATTAGCGGCTAAAAGAAAATGAAAACCCTCAAACTATTGATCTCCAATTTTTACTTCTGAAAAGTTGGCTGAAATGATTCAAATGTATTCAACTACAAAGGAGGGCCTGCTCTCGGGCACACCTGGGCCAGGAGGGAGAACGCTTCCCTCCAGCTCAGGCGGCAGAATGAGGGTCACTGCAGGCTCTGACTTAAAGGGAAGACATTGAATTACGTGGGCCAGAGGCTCGGTGCTAACGTGAACGGAGAGGCAGACACGCCCTGCTTTGTAATTAAACGCAGGCCCCGCAGCACAGCGGCAGCGCCGGCGACCACCCCTCTCCGAGCTCTCGGGTTACCAAGAAAACACCCTCGCTGTCCGGCGCAGTGGTCCGCACACAGAGACCCGCTCTGGGAGCCCCAGGCAGAGACTATGAGCATGTTTCTTCCGAGTGTCACTGTGACAATTAAAAAGATGGAGTAGTATTATTAACTAATTCTGAACCGTATTCACCAGAGGACATCCGAAGACTCCAGGACGAAAGAACACACTGTCTGCGACCACGGGGAGAGGAACCGGGGTGCACGTCAGACAGCACGCACCTCCACAACCAGTTCACCTCGTCACTGCGCAACGGACCGCAGCGTGGCTCTCGGAACATCGGGACGAAGCGGATCAGCTACCACGACGCACGGTCACTGCACGTGAAACGCATATTCTATTCCCTCCACCTTTCAAAGAACTGATGAACACTTCAAGTAAAATACTTATAACAATGAGAGTTTACATGGAAAATTCTCAATAACCTTCACATCAATTTAGTTAGCTCATCAAACTGCAACTGCAGAAAGTCATGTATTTCAGGCCATGTACACAAAGTTGTGGTCCTCAAGCTAGTTCATGTAATTCATCTATTTAGAATGTAAAGTATTTTCCCATGAGAATATTCATTCAAAGAACACAATGTTCCAAGTCCTGTGCCAGAGGCTACAGCACAAACCACTTTTCCAAACTCTAACAGCAGAGAAAGACCCACGCATAGACAGGTATTTACAGAAAACCGTCTGAGTGCAACACACGGACATACATCACGGATCACAGAAATGACACACTCATCTAACGGCAGGGCTGGGGGACAGGGTAACGATGGGCAAGACAAGGAGGGTGGAGGGCGTGTCCCGTGAGTCCCTAGTTAAAGAGTGAAAGGAGAATATTAAATCAGACGTGACCAAAAACATTTGGAAAAATAGCACAAGGGAAAGAATAGAAGCATGCTCAAGTAATGATAAGCAATGAGATACTATTAGGGTTTAAAGGAGGATTCAGAACTGAGAGTTCAACCCTTGGACACCACCACTGCTAAGGGGCCCTCGGCCGTTAGCCCCTGCAGAACTCGGAGCTGGAGAGAGCGGCCCCACCGAGGCCTGGGCACCGAAGACTCATGTGACAGCCACATCTTCTTCCCTTGTGACACCAGTTGTCATTCCTGTTCTCTTCCGAGAACAGCTCAGCCTCTGTTAATTTTTTCTGTTGTGCTTCTGTTTCCTAGTTCATGGATGCCTGACCTCACCCTTTCCTATTTTCTTCTTCCAACTTACTCAGGATTTACTGCGCTCTTCTCTTTCTGTCTTCACTAAGTAGAACCTTGAGTCGCTGACTTCAGACCATCTTTTCTAATGTAAAAACATAAAGCTATCAATGTCCCTCTAAGTGCTGCTTTAGCTTTATCCTAAAAAATTTTGTACATTCATTATCCTTCAGGTCAAAACACTTTTAATTTGCCTTACGATTTCTCATTTAACAAATCGATCATTTAGATGTGTTAATTTCCAAACTCTTGGATAATTTTTCTAATTTTTCTTGTCACAGTTTTCTAACGTAAGCTCACTGTGGTCAGAGCGCACTCCCTGTCTGATGTTGGTCCTTTCGGTGCGGACAGAGACTTCCTCGTGGCCCAGGCTACGGTCTGCCTGGTGGACACCACACACACGGCTGAAAGGAAAGCAGACCTTGCAAACGTTGAGATAACGTTCTACAAACATCACTCAGCTGAAGGCGGTTTCCTGCCTCAGTTCAAAATGGTCAGGGGTAAAGCTCATTCTTTCTTGTTTCCAGCACACAGTGAACATCTCCTAGTGAGCGAAGACAGTGGTGTTTGACCTCACAACCACGAACTTCGAGGGTGAGAACAACGGTTGCTCACGTCCGGTTTACAGACCCAGGCGGAAGAGCGGGCTCTGCGCGGGCACCCACGCAAACACTGGGGGTGCCCTGCTGCACCGCCCCGCAGGCCCACACTTCACCGTGCAGCAGGGCTGGAAACAACACAACGCGCGCGGAGCAGAGAGGACGGGGTGCTCTCCTTGCAGCCCAAAAACCGTCCTGTAAGTGGCCGTCAGTTAGGCAGAGGTTTTTACGCGGTAGTTGCTCGGCTTACTTTTCTAAAAATAACACACACGCTCTCCATTCCACCCCGCTGCCTAAAGTTACACATACCTTCTCGGCTTTCAGTCAGAATTCGCTGCATTTACTTTCTTACCCAGTATCTACTCGAGGGAAACCCCAGGTGGAAACTTTCGTAACGAAGAGACCCAACCGTGTTCGGTATTTTCTAACTTACACACTTTAAATTTGTGATTAAATTCTTTTGCAGAACTAGGTTCCTGTAGGTTCGGAAATTCTGTGGTAACGCTGCATGAGCGAGGCCGGGCCCCGCTGATCTGAAACCCGAAACGCCGGAGGACGTCTGGAGACCGTCGGTGAACACTCCGGCGTTACGGACAGCAGAGCACCCTGCCTTGGGGAGGGTCACAAATACACCCCCCACCAGGCAGAGGCACTGGACAAACACATCTTCATTTCGCAAAAAGAAAAGACCTGAGATGCGACCCTTTCCAAGTCCGGGGTCTGTGTGCGCCCGCGGGCGGGCCGAGCTCTCCCTCGGGCGCAGGTAGCGGGCGGGCGCGGGGGCGAGGGGAGGCTCGTTCCTCCCGCTGGTGCCGGGGCGGACACATCCCGGGCAGCTGGCGGCAGAGCTGCTCTGTTTAATAAGGAAATTCCTCATTTAAAGGTGGTTACAGAGCAGCCAGAGTTCACAAAGCAAGTTGTTGATGCCAAAGCGCTGACCACGATTTTACAAGTTTCCACACTGGCTGGAAACCACGGTGCATGAGGGCCCTGTCCCCGTCCCTCCCACCCTGCCCACGTACAGCCGTCCTGAAGTGTGAGAACCGCTACAGAGAGACGGGTCGCGCCCACGTCACAGTGCTCCTGTGTCAATGAAGGGGGTGCGTGTGGAAAAAGACCAGCAACGGAGACCCTGTCGTTGGGAAACCCTGAAGTCAGGCTCCCCTGGAGGGAAATTTTCTAAAAATGAAAGCCATTTATTCTCTCCATTCCCATACACAAGGATACAGTGTCAAAGCTATATTTGTAACACAAATAAAATAAATTTCATTGACTGCAAAACCCTAGAAAATGTTTTTACACCTCACTGACTGTAAATAAAGAATTTGATTTACACACACTCTTGAAAATGAACACCACACTCCTAGTTGCTTTCAGATCTGGGAACTCCAACCTCAGTTGCTTAATGCAGCCCTTTGGACAAGGCCTTACAAAGCTGCTGCAGCCAATACCCTCTTTCTCCTGTTGGTTAAGTAATGTTTTTAGTGGGTTAAATGAAACGTGAAGATAGGTAACCAACAGTCTGATAATGCAGTGACAACGCGTCTTCAACTGGAAAACCAAAGGGACAAAGCCTCTGAACACATACCAGTTGAATTCCCCGGACACTGAGTGCAAGGCCGAAATGCCGCCCCAGACTTTGGAGTCAGACAGAGCGGGGCCTGTGTCTCAGCTGGCACCACGGGCAGCGGCATCAGGCTCGGTATCCATGGTCCTGGCACCCCAGGGCCCTGCTCCTCCTGCTTCTACTAATGACATCAGAACGCAGCTCCAACCAAGGAAGAGAAATTAAACCATATTTAACTTCAAAAACAGTACGGACAATGAAAATGATTCCTTCATTCATTCGTCATTTACTGAGTTCCTGTAGATGGCTGCCAATTTTTTCCTGCCCAAGATCCCCTTTTCCTTCTTTGAATAACAGAAGATTTTCCTTTCAAGAATGAGCCCAAACCTGTCAGTGGGGGCTATCAGCCCCAGGGCCCCCAAAGCTCCACCACAGAGGCCAACATGTGGCCCCCAGGGCCCTGGGACAGGGCGGGGGCCTGGGACAAGGACGTGAGCCAACAAGGGCCGCTCGCACACTGTGCAAAGATCTGCAAAGATCTAGCGAGTTAACACTTCTGCTGGAGAAGACCTCTTTGTTCCTAACGCCCAAACTTCTCGAAACATTTGCCAGCCAAAGTTTACAAAGAAAAAAACACTTCCTTACATCCCAAAGCATTCCAACGTGTCACAGAAAGATGTACATGCAACAAAAACCCGCAAGTTGTGCTCCGCACGCAACCGCCAGCCGGCACTGCGTGCAGACGTCGCGAGAAGCACACTGAGCAGACCACAGCGCAGACAACTTCGGCGTGCACGGGAACCGAGCGCGGCACGAGGCTCTCTGTGCTGCGGGGGCTGCAGCCAAGCAGCAGTGTCTCTGAGGTGGGCCTGCGCAGGGCTGGGGGGAGACTGAGACGGACCCTCTGGGAGTCTCTCTCCAGGAGCCCCAGGAACCACATAAGCCTGAGGCACCCAAAAGCCAAGGACGCCACCAGTCACCCAACTCGGCCAACGAAGACGACACAGCAGGCACTTTTCCATGCAGGGCCCCAGGGTAACTACTTTAGGCCACGTGGGCCAAAGGCCCTGCCCCTGAGCCTGCGTGGCTGCGTGACAGTAACCACAGATAACGTAGAAGCTCATGAGCACAGTGTGTGCCAGTAAAAGCGTATTTACAAAAACAGGCTGTGGGCTGGGTCTGGCCACGGACCCGTTTGCCAACACGTTCTCGAGACCAATTACAAGCACTGGTGGGGCCAGTCCTACATGGCAGCAACACACGAATGAGAAAATAACTAGACTATGTAACTCCAGTCACGCTGGGTGCCGTTAGGTCACAAAGAAGAGCACCCGGGTACAGCTCGGAGGGACACCGGTTCTCGTCTGGTGACAGGAAGCACTCTGCAAGGACACACGGAGTGGAGACCAGGGCAGACGGCTGTATGGAGACCTGCAGGAGGCCGTGCCAAGCAGAGGGAAGAGCAGGGGTCAGATTCTGGGAAGAACGGAGCCCGTGTCTTCAAAGAAAGGAGGTGGGACCAGCTGGAAGTCAGGAGCAAGGGAAAAGGCGGTCAGAATAAGGCGGGAGGTCAGTCAGGAACCAGGACCCGCCCAGCACCGTATTTTGCCACATAACATGCACGCCCACATTTTTGTGCACATTATACACGGATTCTGCCCGTGGCATGTAATCAATACGCTCATGTATAATGTGCATCCTTATTGTTCTCTCAAAAGTTAGGGCAAAAAGGTACACAGTGTACACGGCAAAATACAGTGCTTTGAATTTGCTCCCTGGTGTCTCTATGCCAGAGCGTGGCAAGCTCTACAGCCACTTTCTGAAAGGTCGCCCTGGGTGCTGTGCGGTGCTGCAGAGGGCCCGACAGGCAGGAAGGGCAGTGAGAAAGTTCGGGCAGCAGGCCGTCTATAGGAGGGATGACAGGGCCTCGAGTGGCTGTGGCAGCTGACCTTGGAACATGGTGTGCAGACAGCGCTGGTGAGCACGAGCCGGTGAGAGCAGAGAATCAGAGCTGACCCTCAGGGTCAGGGCATGAGCAGGGTCTGGAACGCAGCACAGGGGGACTGGAGATACTGGTCACAGAACCAGTAAGGACTGGCAGGGCAGCAGCAGGCTTTGAGGGTGCAGGGAACCCAAAGCTTTCCTAAGTGTGAGATGTCACAAGTGTGCAACAGGAAGGCACACACATAAGTCTGGAGCTCTGGTGAGAGGTCGAGGCCAGATGCACACACTTGGAAGTCATCAACTTAGAAAGGAATTTTGAGCTGTGGAACTGGGTCAGGATGCCCTGGATGAGCAATGACAGAGAAGGAATCTGAAGACTGCCCGAGGGCCACGGCACCTCGGGGCACATGCAAGGAGCAGGCGCTAGCCACGGAGCAGCAGGGGTGTCCGGGAGTGCAACCAGCGCAGAACAAGACACAGCTGAGCCGGTGCTGGTGCATCCTCCGGCCCTGGGGCCCAGTGTGCCGAAAAACCCAATAAACTCTAGGGCTTTTCAGTGCCGAAAGCCTGTAAATTCCCTTTCATGCACGTGCATTCTGAGCCGGGCTTCTGGCACTTGAGACTCAGGAGAACGATGAACAACGCCATGGCCGTCACATGCCAGCTGCTGTCCCAGGGCAGGTCTGAGGGCAAACAACACTCAGTCCCCCGTCGGGGAGCCAGTCTCGCAGACCGGCACCGAGCGCCATGAAATCGGGTTGCAGGGAGGACAGAAGAGGGGCCGCAGACTCCAACGGCAACAGGAAGGACCCTTACGTGCATCTCCCTAATATCTGCACGGATACGGAAACAGTGAAATTTACATGCACAGGGCAAGAAACACCCCTAGAGCAACAGGGAGATAGGAATCTGGGAGTGGAACTTTGTCATGCAAAATAAATCAACTAGATAACTTAAATATGACCCAAAAGCAATACTCTACTCAGAGTCATAAATTTGTTTTTGTAGGGAAACTGTGATAAAAGTTTACGCTGAAAGAGGCCAAAACTGAAAGAACTCAGACCTCACCTTTGAATTCGGGCCTCCTCCCCTAACTGATCGTTCTTAGAATATGTACCAGAGTAGACACGCGGAAGCCTCAAGTGCGGCCTGCCAGCCCCGCCTCTTCTCTGCACTGGTGCTGCGACCTTGGTCAGACTGGGTAACCTTGACTGACGGCTCAGGGCTCTCAGCTGCACAGGACAGCAAAACACAGTCCCCACACCGCACCCCCATCACAGGGGCGGCACGAGGCATTGGTCCCTCTGTGCCCCCCACCCCAGTAATGCCACACAGACCCACCCGTGCTTCACTGAGCTGCCAAGGCACACGCGTGGGGCCGTCCGGTTCCAAAGGACTCAGATGCCAAAATTCAGCCCTCGGGTCCAGCCAGGTTATCTAAGAACATAAACACATCCTTCACACCCATTTTTAGAAGGACATTATCCCAATAACCCAACCTGAGTGGTGCCAAAGCCTTCCTGCCCACGCTTTCCTGTGTGGACCCAAACGGAGAGACCCAGAGGCCCGGAAGCCTCGCACCTGCCCCTCTCCGGGAAGAGACACCGAGCCCTGCGCTCCGCCGGCCCCGCACCAATGTGCGCGCACCGTCAGCTCTCACGCATCGGGCGGCGGGAGGGCACACACTGGGGCTTTTCTCCCAGTGTTCAGGGGTGGGTTCCTATTTATCAGTGAAGAGTAACAATTTAGTTGGACACCGCGGACGGTCTGTGGTCCCGTTTGTGTTTACCAGACGCAGAGTTCCTCTCACGGCAGTCACCGCCTTCAGCGAAGGGACCGCGGGGACACACTTGACCACTACGCTCCGCCCTTCGCTCCCGCCTGACCCCGTCTGGTGACCTTCAATAACCTGAACTTGAGCTAGCCTGAAGGAGATCTTCTATTTACAACTTTTGCCCTTTACTCCAGGCGGTTAAAACACAGACGGCTAAAACGCAGACCCAAGATACGTAACAAACGAAAACAGAGTCCCGCTGCAGAAAACCTCGCAGTCACCCGACCCCAGCGATTCACCCGTCGCGTTATTAAAAACACTGGATTCTGAGGGAGGGTTTCTAAGTCAAACACGATTACATAATTATTTTTGCACCCACTACTATTTGTGTGCAAATGGTAATTCAAGTATAATAAACATCCAGAAATAAAAAGTATTTTAAAATCAGGTATAATCTCAACAGAGCAAGAAAATTCACAGCAAAAGAGACGAAAGCGAGGCAAGTTCATGTCTCGCTGGTGAAACGCCGGTGGGACCCCTGGCAGCTCGAGGCTCCCCCAGAGACAGTCCCAACCTGAACACGCGCCACTACGTGAAAGCCAGACACAGAACTAGGTTGTGAAGGAAGCAGGAGGAGGGCCCTCATAAATAAGAACAATCACTTTTGATGAGTTCTCCAGGGAGGAAAGTGTCGACTCCTCAGGAGACACGGTGGTTCCAAACCCGTGTCTGACAGCGAGGGCTGACACGGGTGACTCGAGAGCTGGCAGGACCGAAGGGAGAGAGGAAACCACCCACGTCCAGTGACGGACGGCGGGGCAGGAGGCCGTCGAGGAGACGGAAGCCTCGAACGACAGGCTAAGCCGACCAGACCTGCCAGGCGGCTGCAGAAGACCCCGCCGGAAACCGAGCACGCGGTGTCCTCAAGAGCACGGGCCGTTCTCCCGACAGAGCAGCTGTCAGGCTGCAAACAAGCCCCGACGCGTTCACACGGAGTGAGATGACACTCCGTGTGCTCACCAACCACCGCTGCGACGGCGGACTCCTCACCCACACAGCGCCCTCCTCTCTCTGACGGACCACCCACTGCAGCCGCGTCGTCCGAGCCGCATGTCCACACGCTGCCCCGTTCCGCGCTGAGCGCCCCCCGCCCCCCCACTCCCCCCGTCCTCCAGGGACCCCACGGCCAGCCCCCTCACAGAGCCCCAGGGTCGGCCGGGGAGCCCTCCCTGCTCTGTCAACACACGCTGTTCTAACGCACTGTCCAGACCCTACAATCCAAGCTCTTACTTAAAACTTCCCTAAGGAAAGCGATGTGCCAGAAGCTTCTTCAGCGATCAGACTCCTAACGAGATACTCACGGCCACTCCGACTCAGGCTGCTTTTGGTGAGCGTTGATGACGTCGATTGCAATGTTGAGGTTTTCTTCCAGTTCTTTCATTCTTTCAGAATTAAGGGATGTGAACAAAATCATTGACGAGTAGGAAACGATTTTTTTGTCTGGATGATTTAAGCAAGACCTTCCAAAAAAAGAAATAAGTGTTAGCCCAGTTTAACAACACAACAACAACATATGACTACAGCATATACATAGCAATGATCCTATTAACAAATACAGTGGGCACTGAATTTTTAAGGATTTAATGAAGAATTCCAGCACTTTGAAATAAGTACATTATCTACTGTAAAAACAGCAAGTATCAGATGAGTCACAGCACAAGGCACCCATCAGCAGTCGCGAAGGACACGGTGCTTAAGGGAAGGCGGCGCCCGGGCAGGAAGGAAACTCTGGAGCCAGGAGCCTCAGCACCAGCCAGCCCTGGCCCACCGACCTACCACCCCGTGCGCTCGGGAAGCACTCGCCTTAGCTGCTGCCCGTTCTGTCACGGGTCACGAACAGTGGCAGCATTTCATTTTTCATTCTCCTGGAGAAGGTATTAGCCTTACACTTCAGATCAAGGATGTGCTGGCTGCAGCTGCCCAAAGACACAAAGCCAGTGCCAGCCGGAGCCGGAATTCAAACCTGGTTCTACCCGTCTCCGAGGCCCATCGGGAGTGGTGCCACCTGACTGCGCACCGTGGGCTTTCTGGCATAAAAACGGAACACAGCAACGAGACCTCCTCACCTGCCTCTCAGGCCAAGGGGACGGATGGGAAGCACCAGGCAACCTGTCACGACTTCCCCGAGTCACCTGTCACCACCTACGCCTGCTCGAGGGCCCCTCGCCTGCGTTGCCATGGCGCCGGGTTTATGTCGTCGGGTCAGTTCTTGGGCTGCCATGTGGGCACCTGTCCCTTACCTTCCCAGCACAGCACGAGCTCGCTGGGAACACCGGAGTGTCTCCAAGTCGCCCCAGTGCCACTTGTCGCGCTCAGAACCTGGCAGGTGTGAGGCACCCAAAACGTTTTAAAGGAATGGATTCCCAAAAATAAGTAATTTTTATTTCTGTAGCTTGAATCCCACAATTCTTTCCTTCCCCCTAAGCTCAACTATTAGTAATCATAAAGACAACAGACACAGAGGTGCCTCCCACTCTAGTTACCTGCAGCAACTTGAGGGGCGGTTGTACTCAGTGAGCCAACAGTAACACGGGAGTTATACTTTACAGGTGGCCGAGACACACCTGTGCAACCAGGGATGGCAGCAAAGAGCACAGGCAGCAGGTGTGTGAAGAGTGCAGGCTCTGGCCCCAAGAGCCACGCGGGGTTTACACCCAGCTCTGCCAATGACCAGCACCCACGTCGGCTCCCGCACCTGTCCACTCGCTCGCCACCACTCGCCGGGCAGGGCTGAGCACGGAACAGGGGAAACACGCAGACACGCCCGGCTCGGGGCGTCCGAGCAACAGCTGCTGCGCTGCTGCTTGTTCTGTGCCCCCACCAAAGTCACCCCATTCGGTGGCAACACAGCCGGGCTAGAAGCCAGGCCTCTGCTCCCCCACAGGGCTTTTCCCCTCCCCACCCCACCTCCGCCCCCCACCTTTTCCCTCCCCGCACACAACTGGGGAGGAGACAGGGCCAGGCGCACGGGCGCACGCCAACAGCGCTCCAGATCGACCGGAGCACGGGGCTCTGCGCCGGGCACACGGATCAACTCGTCGCCCACACGTCAACGTTACGGCTTTTTCTTATAAGTCACCGTGTCCATTAGAACAGCATTTCTCATTTTAACCCAAACTTTTATTTTCTTAGAGTGAAACTGACATAGCACAAAGGGCACAAATCAACAATCAGTAACCGTGCAGATGTGTGCACACCGCTGTAACCGGATTAGGCTGCAGAGCCCTCGCAGAGCCCCAGAGGACCCGCATGCCCCCTCCCTCTCAGCCGGCAGTGGGCCCGCCACCGCCCACCCAGGAAAACCACGATCCTCGTTTCTGTTAGCAAAGGTTCGGTTTTCCTGTTTTTGAACTTCACTGAATGGAATGGTATGAACCACTGTCTCTCAGAAGTCAGAAACACCCCTCGCAATACACTCACAGGAAGAGTTCCGGGAAGGCGTGCACCCAAACGACGGCCTGGGAGTCCTCGTTCCGCGAGGCGATGTTGCCTAAAAACTGCAGGCCACAGCGAAAAGCTGAGGGTTTATAGCAAAGCAAACAAGATACACGATTAAAATAATTTTAACACAAAGAATAAACACATCTTAACAAGAAATATCCCCAATGTTATTAAACAGAAAGTTTCTGTTAGCTTCTTGTAACTACACAGTTCTCTTGCCACAATGAAACTTTGTGTATGACATTAATATTAAAATGCCTTACCGAAACAAAGCACTCGACAAAGTTCACTAACTTCTTAAAAAGACTGTAAGGGTGAACACAAATATACCAGTGACTACTGATACATTAAACACTGGAATACGTGCTCCCGTCTTTAAAAAGGTACTCTTAGACCAGGGCTTTTAAAGTCAAAGCGTGGTGAAAACGATACAGTGGGCAAGTATCAGCCTGCAAAGAGCATCACAGACCATTTAAAATCAGACATACTAATCCTTAAGGCTGATGCTTAAGGCAAAGAAGCATCATTGGTGATTTCTGTAAAAAGTCATTTCAGAATGACTTAATTCACCAGAAAGATGTAACAATTTTAAATTGGAATGACCTTAACATGGCCTCAAGTATACAAATTTAAAAAATAACACTGACAAAAGTATGGAACAAAGAGAAAAACCCACATTAAAATGGGCATTTATAATATACCTTTCTCAGTAACTGATAGAATAAGCAAAAATACCAGCATATTTAAAAGATCTGAGCATTATTTATTAACAATCTTGTTTAGTATATGTTTCACCAAATAAAACTGCAACACATGGGCAAAAGCTAGAATGCCAGCGACACCAAGTGCTGGTGAGGATGGGAGCCGGGGCTCTGTCCACTCATCGCTGGGGACGGGGCAGGGCAGCCACTGCGGAAGGCAGTCCGGCGGTTTCTCACACAACGACACACACTCTTCGCGCACAACCCGGCAATCGGCCTCCTGGAGTCCACCTGAGGGAACCGAAAACACGTCCACACGAAAACCCGCATGAGAGGCTCATAGCAGCTTTGTTCATAGCCGCCGAAACGGGGAAGCAACCAGAGGCCCTCCGGCAGGTGATGGACACACTGCGGTCCACCCAGACAGTGGGACAGTGTTCGGGGCCAAAAGGACATTATTGCCAGGCCGTGCAAAGACACAGAAGAAACGTCAGTGCATGTGACTAGGTGAAAGATGCCAATCCGAAGAGGCTACACACTGTGTGGTTCCAGCCCTGCGACTTTCTGGAAAAGGCCGAGCCGTGCAGACGGTCACAAGACCCGTGGCTGCCAGGAGTCGGGGAGGGAGGGATGAGCAGGCAGGGCAGAGGACAGAGAAACTGCTCTTCATTGCACTACAGAGGTGGACACCTGTCATTACACGTCTGTCCAAACCCGCAGAATGCACCAAGAGTGACCCTTCATGTAGACGATGGCCCCCGGTGACAATGACGTGCCGGTGTAGGCTCATCGCCTGTCACAAACAAACTACTCTGGGGCCAGGTGTTGACAGCGGGAAAGGCTGTGCGGGTGTGGGGGCAGGAGACACATGAGAAACCTCTGTATCTTCTCAATTCTGCCGCAAACCACCTAAAACTGCTCTGAAAAATAAGGAATTATTGAAAAAAAAAAAAAAAGAGTAACAGCAAAATAAAACTTTTTAGGGGCAGAAAGAAAAAGGAGCCATAAATTCAATTCCCAACTTAAGGTGAACCTGCAAAGTCACCTAACCTTCACAGGACCCAGTTTCCTTAGCACACAGTGGGACAGCACCACCCACTCTGCAGAGCTACTGGAGGGCTGAAACGTGGACTCGCTGCGAGTGCTGAGTGTGCCGCAGGGAGCACGTGAAACGCCCACCAAGCCGCTACCTGTAACCAGCACATATCATGGAGCTGGTACACACGGGCTTAAAAAGTCAGATTTTCAGATTTTAAATTAACACATGTGTCCGGTCCCGTGGCCAGAGGCCCTGCACGGAAACTCCGAGTGCTCACCGTGTAAATCCGCATCACAGAGCAGGGGAGACCAAGACCCACAGAGGCCACCTGGGGCCCGACCAAGGTCACAGTTACGGAGCATCACAATCCTGGATTGCGACTGCAGCGACCCAGTGTGGGAGGAGTGTCGCCTCGTGACCCGCAGAAGCTACTCTTGGAAGTTGTAAGGGGATTTCATTAATAAAGAGGGAATGTAAACAGCTGCAGCCCCCGCAGCCCCCCAAGGACACTGGGCACACCGACAATGTCTCACCACGTGACAGAGGAATAGACGGCTCTCCCCAAATGTCAACCTGAAACGTAAGTTCACTGACCACCTTGGAATTATACCACAGAAACAGATCCCCCAAGTAACGAGAACACCCCATGGTCTGAAACTAAGAACACCCCATGGTTCTAAATGATCCCTAGGGACAAAAAAGAAATCACAATGCAAGTATCCTTCGAGAAGATCACTCAAAAGAGAGAAAAGGCACCAATAACAGACAAAAACTTTCAGAAATGAAAGAGCATATGGCCACAGATCTTGAACACATCAAAGAAAATTGTGAGATATTACAAATAACATAATGCCAAACTGTTTGAAAAAATAAAATAACCAAAACCCTAGAATATAACTAACAAAAACTGACTCTATAAAGAATTCTGTAAAATATTCAGGAAAAGCCTGAAGAGTCCTCTAACCATTAAGGAAATTGAATTAGTAGTCCCCAAAATTATTTCCTGAAAAAGACGACCCAGACCCAGAATGTGGCCAGCGCACGTTCAAGGAAAGATAATCCCAGTTCACCCAGCTCCCCCAGGGAACGCTAGAAGAGGGAGGAGAGTCCCCGACCGGCTTCGTGAGGCCGGCACGGCTGTGAGGCCCGGGTCGGAACACGGCAGCGTCAGGAAGGAGAGCACGCAGGGCCCTAAACGATACGCCGACAAAGCGAGTCCATTGCTCTGAACCGCATCTCACGCGTCCTGTGACAGCGCTGAGCTTGTATCTCCGCTGAAAGCCACTTGAACACTAGAAATTACAACGTCTGACCGACCACGTTAACCTGTAAAGGACAAAACCACATGAGCATCTCAAATACTGCAGAAGACACATTCGATGAAATTGAACACCCATTCATAATTTAAAACAAGGCAAAAGCCCCTAGCCATCGGAGAACAGAAGGAGACTTCTTTAACCTAAAAAGAGGTATCAACAACAAACCCCTCCCCGCCCAGTGTATGCAGTGACCGACGGCCAGCTGCGGAGAACCAGGGCACGCCCTCCGGAAGGGAGCGGGGCGAGGGGGCCTGGAACGAGCGCTCCCGGCCGCCCTGGCACCGAACACCTTGGTCGGCACGACAGCGCAACAAAAGGCCCAAGAAGTGGAAAAGGAGCAGTTAAACTGTCATTTTGTCCCCAACAGATGAAATGTCCTTTCTAGTCTACATAGAAAATGTATTTTAAACCTATTAAGTTGTTTGAATTACTAAGAGAGCTATAAATGTTGCTGGGTGCAAAGTCAATATTCAAAAATGCATAATATTTCTATATACAGAAAGTAAGCAAAAATCAAGAAAAGAAACTATTTATAAAAGCACCAAAAATACAAATAAAAATGTATGCCACTAAAAAAATCTTCTAAAAATAAGATCAATAATAAAGTAGAACGAAGTAAGTGGAGAATTATACCACTTTCACGGATCAGAGGACTAGATTAAGCGCCATTCCCATCTGAATCACAACAGGGGGCGTGTGTGTGAGATTTCACACACCAGAGAATGTGGCTAGTTTGCGCGTGTGTGTGTGTGTGTATGCACCATGGAGGTACAAAGGGCTGAGATGCGGTTCAAAGCAATGCAGCGAGCGGACTTGCTCTCACAAGACGGTAAGCAGCCGTGGCGAGGCAGCGCGGTGCTGGGGCAGGTAAACAGCAACAGAACAAAACAGAGCAAGGGACGGACTCAGACCTAAGCTGATAGGTGACTAACGACAAATTAAAATGAAACGGCAGATAGGAAGTAAAAGAGCCTTTTTAAACACAAGGCGGGGATAACCGGGTATGAGTAGGGAAAAATGAAAACTGAACCCTTTGCTCCCACACACAGAGGATTCAAGTCCGTGTACCAACCTAAATGTAAAACAGTAAAAACAAAACAAACAAAAAAAAACACTGTAGAATAAGAACTATTTTGAGACAAGACTCATAAAATAATACCCATAAAGAAAAATACTAGTAAACTATACTATATTAATAGACTACATTAAAATTAAGAACATTTTTTTCTCAAAAGGTACCACAAAGAGAGTTAAAAACAACAAAGAAAACCATCCACAGAACAGGAAAAGATACAGAGCACATAACTGAAACAGGATTTATACACAGACTATATTGAAAGAGCTCTCAGAAATCATTTAAAAAGACAAGCAACCCAATAAAAATGTAGGCCAAAAACACTGAGACCCCGAAAACCATCTCATAAAATAAGGCAGACGAGACAAAGGCGAGGGGGCACACACACACACACACACACACAGACGAGCAGACGAGCAGCGCCCGGCCCCAGGGGAGAGACCGAGAGGCCACTCCGCACGCACCAGAGCTACTCCGCACGCCTGTCTGCTGCAGCGCGGCCAGGGCCAGGGCTCAAGGTACCGTGAAGCCCTCTCTGCCCCGGACGGACTGCAGGAGCCCCGTTACTCAGGTGTCACGCAGGGCGCTTTTGAGAGGGCACCACTACCAATAAGGGCCCCTCAGCCCCAAATAAACCCTTCAGTGCCCGCCCTGCGGACAGAGCTGGGCCCTTCGAGCGCCAGCCTCGGCAGCAGGGGCGCCGGAGGAACTCGGGGCGGGGCAGCATTCCCCCACCCCAGGCCCCTGTGGTTGTTGGTTCTCCAGCGTCACCTCCACGCTCCTCCAGCGACCAGCCCCCGCGGAGCCCAACAACGTCTAGGGGCGCTCGGGGCACACGCTGAGTCCTGGTCCCTCCCTGCGGACAGCGTCCCCCTGCACCTCACCACAACCTCATGAGGGAGGTCTCGGTAGTCTCCCCCTGTACGGGAGAGGAGACCGAAGTTCGAACAGCCGCTCCCTCACGACATGCTCCCTGTAAGTGGTGTAAGGACAGCGGGCAGAGAGGCCCTTCCCGGGGACAGGGCTTACGGCTGGTCACCAGAGGTCAAAAGCCACCGGAGGATGACACAAAATGAAAGACTTCGCCCCATTAAAGGAATTCCCAACAGGCACCGACCAGGAGACATTTTTCAGAGCAAGTGAACTTTCAAAGACCTTAAACTTCCCAGACTTCCGCTTTGCTAGAGGAGAGAAGCCGGCCTGCTGATCCGGCCCCAGACCTCCGTCCTCTGACCGCGGACTTTGGCAGGGTCCGGGCCTGCCTCTCACCCGCGGTGGCTGGAAGCCTGGCTGGGCACAGGGCAGGCCGCGGGCTCCCGAGCCTCCGAGCAGAGCGGCTGTGAGGACCGAAAGCACGAGGGGCCCGTGCACCGCGCCGTTCACCCACTCCTGCCGCTAACCCAACAACTGGCGGTGCAGAGCGAGGGGCGGAACTGGGGCCAAAAATCAAAACTCTGAAATTTAAAAAAGTGTACAAGGAAAATGAGGAGCCGAGAACCTCAAAACTATATTAATAGTATAATCGAAAACAAAGACGCAGGATTCAGAACCGGACACGTACACACATACCCACATATACAAATACTGAAAAATGACTAAAAACCAAGTCAGGTGTGTTTAATGTGGCCTGCACAGGTAATGAGGATTGTTTTTCTTTCTACTTTTCTGAACTTTTAAATGTCGCTCTACAATAAAATTATAAAATGTTTATAATAAAAAACTCTTCATTTTTAATCATAAGATGTTATAGAGTTAAATGACATTTATATTTCTACTGAGTATTTAGAGTGCGAACACCACACTGGGTAAAATCTAACACACGAAAGAGGGCGACCACGTGCACAGCCTGCGTGCGGGCACGCAGCCCCGGAGCGCGGTCCCACGGAGGAAAAGGGTCCGAGACGTCCCGGAAGCGAGAGGAGAAAACACCGGACAAGTACAAATGACAGTTCGCTTTTACCAAACAGCTTATCAAATGATCTTTAGGTAAATACTGCAAATGTTACAAAGCCCCTCAGAAATCCCAACAATATTTTTACAGATTAGAAAAGAGTCAAGGCCAAAAACAACACCAATAGCTCAATTAAAATAACTCCTGCTTGTGTTTACATAAAATTTGATGAGCATAATATATTCGTCACACCACTGTAATTATTCTCTGAAAATAATACTCTAAATATTATTTTGACAATGTAATTATAGTTCTTACCTCAAACGTGGTTAACAAAAAACTGGCACAGATAGCCTGCTAAAATTCTACCGAGAACAAGGTTCTCACAGAGAAACGGAGAGTAGATGGGCACTTCCTTAGGAACCAGAATTCCCTTTTAAAAGATTTGTATTAGGTTCGAACTAACACACTGTAAATGTTTTTTAAGTTTCGTTGTTGAATCCAAGGTTCATTGAGTTCCTGATAAAATTCAGTAATAGCAGTAGCTGCCTTTTCCAAGAAGGGGCGAGAAAACTCCACTTGTTTTCCTTCCTGCCTCGGGACGGCCTCCCACCTCTGCTTCCGAGCACGGCTCTCTGCTCGAGGCTGACACGACCGAAGTGCTGGAGGTTGGACCGAAATAAGCACGTTCCCTGCGCACAGGCTGGCAGATACAGCACCAACAACGTGGCAACTCTCCCCCCAGAATCTATAAACTCCGCACAATTCCTAGAATCCACAGTATAAAAGTAACTCTTATAATTTGAGTAGACAAAAGTATAACCCTTTCTCTTCTCTGAGAAGACAAAGAGCCCAATTAGAACCTGGGCGGAGGACTGGAGTGGCCGTTTCCCCAAAGAGGACTAACAAAGGGCCAACGAGCACCGGGCACGCTCAGCGTCATTAGTCACTACGGAACTTCCAAAGACCGTCAGCTTTCTACATCTTCATATCCACCAGGATGACTGTGACCTAAATAGAGGGAAATGAATTTTGGCCAGCATGTGCAGAAACTGGGACCTTGCACATTGCGGGTGAAAATGTGAAGTGGTTTAGCTGCCGTGGAAAAGTGTGACAGTTCCTTAAAAATGCGCACAAGCAACCCAGCAATTCCCCTCTTAGGGCTGTACCCACAGGAGCTGAGGGCAGGCGCTCAGGCCAGCGCGGGCTCGTGCGGGCAGCACAACAGCCGGATGGTGGGAACCACCCAAACGTCCGTTCACCACCACATGACTGGGTGAAGAAAATGTGGCACAAGCATCTAATGGAATACTTTTCAGGCATTAAAAATAAAGTACTGATACAAGCTACAACATGAATGAACCTCAAAAAACATTATGCTAAAGAAAAAGCCAGACACAAAAGATCCTGTAATTCTATGACTCCATGCCCAAGAAATACCCAGAACAGGTAACCCCACAAAGACAGAACACAGAATGGTGGCTGCCAGGGCTCCGGGCAAATGGAACACAGCCAGCCAGTGGCACCGAGTTCCCTTCGGGGGGCGCAAAAATCCATGCAATTCGACAGAGGTGGTGGGTGTACAGCCCCGTGAATGCATTAAATGCCGCAGTTTAGGGTGGTTAATTTTATCTTCTACGGATCTGGTGTCAACAAAATGTGGGCGAGAGCAGAGCGCAGAGAAAATGGACGCAAGGGGACATGGAGTCGGGCAAGGCATTTTGCAGATGCCAAGCAGGACGGCGCGTTGTCCTCTGATGAAAGGGACGGAAGAGGGAAGAGCTGGCGAGGCCCAGAGAACGGGGACAACTTCAGGGCACGAGTGTCTGCGTGCATGAGTGGAGCGCCCGGTCCGGCTGATGGCTCTTTAATCACAGCGTTCGCTCGCGGGGCACTTCCTCTGGCGTCTTATTTCGGGCCCGTCGTCACGGGAGAAACCCACGGCCCGCCGCGGCCCCGCCGGGCTGCCGGGGACACAGCCGCCGCACCAGCGCTTGTCAGCAATTACAGAACGCAGGACGTTCTGAACTCTTTCTGAATCACCACGCCACACACAGACTTCCAAAATAGCTGCCTTTCCGTGCAGGACAGTGAAGTTCATCTTCTACGGCTGATTTTCAATTCCCCGCATTGAGCACCGGGGCTTTCACTTTATTACAAAATGGAGTTAACAAAAATAACTTTATAACGTCTTTAAAACACTTTACAACTAGCCCTACACCCTATCAAGTTCTTGAGAATATCTGAAAACTTACTGCTGTTTTAAAAAACCGAGAGCTATTTAAAAAACCGAGAGCTGTTTAAAAAACAGTTTGTAAATTTTTAGATAACTTAATTCAAAAATGATTACAATTTCCCAAAGGAAGAATTCTAAGTCATATAAAAAGATGTAGGAATTTTAACAAATGAGCTTTAAATAAAAACACCAAGACATCACAGAATAGACGGAGAATTAAGCGGAGCCGGGCAGCCCCCTCCGCCCAGACCTCGCCCGGTCCGCTCCGGGCCGCAGCTGCCCGGCCCGTGCAGGGAGGCCCGCAGCCCGCACGTCCCTCGAAGGCAAGTGTGCCTCGCTTCCCATGCGCACGGGCGTTAGGAACGGCACATGCTGAATGAGTCCATTTACAACTCAAATCATTTTATTTTTTTTTAATATTTTATTTATTTATTTTTAGAGAGGGAAGGGAGGGAGATAGAGAGAGAGAGAGGAACATCAATGTGCAGTTGCTGGGGGTTATGGCCTGCATCCCAGGCATGTGCCCTGACTGGGAATCGAACCTGCAACACTTTAGTTTGCAGCCCGAGCTCAATCCACTGAGCCACGCCAGCCAGGGCTCAAATCATTTTAAATACAGCTGGAGATGTCTCACCTAAAGAAGTATTTGTTGAAGAGTGTTATCTTTCTTTACTAAAATGAATTTTTAACTACATCTGCTTATAATAAGCCAGATATTTACACTGAGATTTTCTCATTAAATGGCTTACATTTACCCATAAAGTATTTCAGTTCTTTGGATAAAGATATCATATATTAAAATTCTATGTTTTTTAAATGTGATGTCAAGATAATAACCCAAGTTCAAAGGAGAAACATCGATGCCAACGGTTCAAGAACCAGAAACACCCGAACAAGTCTGGGAGAGCCCCCCCGGCCCCCAGAATGAGCAGCGCAGCCCCCTGGCCCCCGAGGGTGGCCCCTGACGCCAGAGCTGTCCTCCCGCTCCATCGGTGGCCCCCCAGACGTCCTTCTTGGGCATCATTAGTGTCTGGCTGCCCTCGACGGAACGTCAGCATCCTGAGGGCAGGGATCTTTGTCCCCTGCAGTCCCTGTACCACCACACCAGCACCTCCCTTGGGACCTGCCCCGTGCTACTGGCTGGGCTGGGCTGGGCTGGGCTACAAAGCGCCACGACAGGAGGGGCAGGTGTGGGCAGGACGGGGCCTCCCTCCCCCGAGTGCGCACGGCCATTTTCTTCCGTGTCCTCACGTGGTCCTCCTTGGGTGCGTCTGTGTCCTGACGTCCTCTTCTTACAAGGACACCAGTCACACTGGACTAGGGCACACATAGGACCTCGTCTTACCTTGATTACCTTGCTAGAGGTTCTGTCTCCAAATACAGGCACAGCCTGGGGGACCAGGAGTCAGGACTCCACACGTGGATTTGGGGGAACACAGCTTGGCCCACGACAGAGGGAAGAAAGCAACCCGCTGCAACTTTCCTTACGCTGTCCCTGTAACATCACTAACAACGCCTCTCTGCACCGCCGCCGAGCATCTGCTTCAATGAATGATGTAACACCCAGAGTGCTGGCGTTCGAACCCTTCTCAGAGGTACGAGTAACTCACGGATCGCACTGCAGTTACCTGTCAGCAGCGCCTCCTGTTCCACCCGCAGTTCCCGGAAGAGAAGAATCAAATCCACAGCTATAGCGACCGTATCCAAGTTCCTGTACCACGTTGTGAGGAGAGACAAAGAGAGACAAAGTCAGACCCCTTCCCAAGCCTGCATGTCAAAGGTGCCAGTTCCCGTGGCCGGCAGGACAAGGTCCTCCTGGGGGCTCCACTGGGCTCCCCAAGCCTGTAATCATGTGACTTCCCAGGGCAAAGGGCACTCACAGTCAGGGGTATACTAAGGATGCCGAGAACAGAAGAGCATCCTGGGGTATCAGGCGGGGCCGGCAGCGTCTCGGGGTCCTTGTAGGAGGACGACAGGGGGTCGCAGTCAGGGGAGGGGCACGCGCCGAGGAATGCACGCAGCCACAGCCGCTGGAGGTTGGGAAAAGCCTCCAGGCGGACTGCTACGCATCGACCCATGTGAACTTCTGAGTTCCAGAGCTGTAAAATGGTAAGTCCGTGTTGTGTCAAGCTGCTAGTTTTGGTAATTTGTCATGGCAGCCACGGGAAACATACAGATTTGGGTGGCAGAAGTGGGATGCCGCGGTAACAAACACCTAAAAGGCAGGAGAGGCTCTGAAACTGGGCAGCAGGCAGGGGCTGGGAGCACTCTGAGGCACGCGATGGGAAGGCCCGCATCGCCCCGAACAGACTCTGGGGAAACCTGGGCACGGAGGGCCCTGCAGGCGAGGACTCAGCCACGAAGAGGAGTGCGTTGCTGAAAACAGAGGGAGGCCGTACTGTCCACACGGTTACTGTTCACACGGAGGTCAAAGCCCAGTTGACCTGTGCGTGGAGGCCAAACGCACGCACTACGTACCTGGCCACTGTCGTCGGACAGATTTCTAAGCAACTAGTCGAAGGCCTGATTTCTTCTTGCTGCTTCAAAAGCAACAGGGAGAGATACACAAAGGAACGAAGAAGGAAACAGACCTCCGTGATTTCCAGAACTCTCGGCTTACCCAGACCGCAAAAGCTGCTGAAACCTGGCGACCGCCTGGAAATGGGTGCTCTGGGGAGAGAGCTGTGCCGCGGCTGGCCAGCCTCGTGGTGGTGGCGTCCCCTCAGTCACTTCAGCCCATACCAGGAGCAGAGACGGTGTTACCCACCACGAAAGCTCTCTGGCGGACCCTTTCGTCTAACGTGAACCCCCATGATATCCACGTGAGACCCACGGGGATTCCAAGACTGTTACACTGGTCGAAACTCCGCCAGCTTGAACAGAATGCACAGAGGCACGATGAAATGAAAGAAGTGGCTGGACTCCCAGAATTCTACAGGTGGGAACTAGGCTGTAGACGGGACTCAGCCGCCCTCCTCTACTCTGGGGGCAGGGCCAAGGGCGGGGCCTCCAGCTGCAGAGGCTCACTGCTGAGCCCTGAGACCTAAGTTTGCTCAGCGGGACTTTAAAACTGCTCAGGACCAGCGACGCCTTTCCCCCTCCATTGTCCCTGCTTCTAAAGGGGGACGTCTAAAACCGTCCCCCTGTGCCTGCCCCACCGCTGTATTATGGAGTCAGAGCTTGTCTTCTAGTCTCGCAGGCCGTGGAACACAGCCACACGCGCCCGTCCCGCGCTGTCAACAGCTGCTCGCACACTGCCAGCGGGGAGCCAAGACAGTCTGGCCGAGACCACAAGGCCTGAGCTGCTTATTACGTGGCCTGTCACAGACACATCTCAGTGACCCCTGCAACAGGGCTCACACTTCCAAGCGGAGGTCGCTGCTCCCCACAGTGTTCTCTGGGCGACTCCCGGGCCTTCACGGGACGCGGACCGCCCGCTCGGCTGGGGCAGGCCCCACTCCACACTCCTGGTGAGACACAAGCCTAGTCCACACGGAGTACAACGTTCGTACAGGGGATGGGAGGAGGTCTAAGCCTCAGCAGCATCACACTTTTGACAAACTCCTTAATAACTTAAAACCCAGAAAAACAAACATCGGTTGCGATCGGACCTTGACAGGCTCAGAACACGGGCTTCAGTTGAGGCTGGCCTTGAAGCCCGTGCAGAATCTCTGTTGTGCTTCTGACTAGAAAACGCTTGTCTCTGAGAGCTGACGCCCCAAACGGTTGGAATTTCCCTTTAAAATCAACAGTGAATAAATACAAATGTGGAACGTGAGGGGGAAACTAACACGACTTCTGTTCATTTTCACGCCAGGACGACTGTAAGCCGCACGCAGTCCAGACGCCGTGGCCACCAGAGCACAGCCCCGCCAGGAGACCGCTGCCAAGGCCTTGATCTTGTAACGTGTGGGCTTTTACAGTTCACATGTATCACTTCTGCACTCAAAAAAGAATATAAAGATGGTCTCCCAGGAGACCAGTATCCTGAGCACGCCTGTCCGTGGTGCAGACGGGTGAGCACGCCCGAGCCGTGCTCACGGGCGCCACTGGGCGTTTCAGGAAGTGAACTCCCTCGACACTCACCCCACTCCCGGCGGCCGCCGCCGGCCTGTCCCACGGAGGAGGAAACGGCACTCAGAGAGGCCAGGGCCCTGTCCAGGGGTGGCGGGGTCACACAGCACAGGGGCGGGAGCGTCTAGGGACAGTGACGGCGCCTGCTGCCCAGCTGAGCCACCACCCGAGCCGCAGAGAACGCCCCCGGGCTCTCACTGAAGGGCTTGCGGATGAGTCCCTCGGCCCCCCTGACCGGCAGTCCCTGGCTGGTAAAAATGGAGAAACAGCCGCATGCTGTTTCCTGAGTTTGTGCTCAGGATCACAAAGGACACTGCCAGTCGAGCCCTTGGGGTACACAGCCTGGACTTGGGGCGGGCTCGAGGGTCCCCGGGCAGGCCGCAGAGCACTCAGCTGGCCCGCCAGCCCACGGCCGATTCTGCTCTGAGGCTCTGGCCCTCCCCACCCCACCACACTGCAGCGCCTCCCCGCCTGGAAAGGACAAGAGACACCTGCCTCTGGCCCCCTCTTCCAGCACCAGGCTCGCTGTTTTTAAAATGTTGACTATTATAATCAAGATTATAATTGTTTCTATCCATTTATCTGCAAATGGATGGCAGTTTGGTTTAGAGCTGAAGTTAAACAATCCTAGCTCCCCCCCCTCTTCTTTCATCTTAAAAATCCCATTAATCACATCGCAGCCTCAGGTATCAGAACTGTCTAGGCAGCGCAGGGCGTCCCTGAAGTGGCTTCTGGAGCAGCCAACGCGCCCGTCACGCAGTGACAGGGAGGCCTGGAGGCTTGTCTGCATGGAGCTCAGGGAAGAACGGCGAGTGTGCTCTCTGTGGCTTCTGGCCTCATCGCAGGTAAAAATGTTTAGTGACAAGCAGATCCCATAAAATCAAAGAGGGAAGGCGCTCCGTTCTGGGAGGGGAGAGTAACATGTAAAAGGACACGCACAGCGCTGAGCGGTTCCCTTGCTCGGCTTTTAACCACATTATAAAGTGGGTGGGAATGGAGTGGGCAACTGCGCGCCCTCTCAAGGATCTCTTAAGACAGGCCATCTTAGATGCCTGCAAGCTGTGCTCCCTGTTCAAAGTAAACACAGGGGTCACTCACTAAAACAGTGAAACAAACAAAACATTTGCGACTAGGAGGCCCAGAGCAGGCAGGTCCTGGCACACGTCACACCACCCCGTGCTCGGTGACACGTAAGCCCAGACAACACCGCGTAGACGGACCAGCAGGACGGACCCAGCACGCACGCAGACGCTCGCGGAGAGGCACGCGGGCACGGACGAAGAGCACCACCTGATGGAGTTCTGGTTCCCAGGGCACTCTATGCAAGCATTGCGGAGGCACCGGAAGCACTCTGTTATCAGCTGCAGACTGGAAGCCAGATGCTCCACCTGGGACGGGTCCCTGCAGGCCAGCTCCACGGCGTGAGAGGACTTCTTTAAGATATCCAGGACTCTCTGGAAGATAGTCCTGGGCGCGGTTTCCCTTAAAAAAAAAAAAAAAAAAAAGACGAAACTATCACAAACCAGAAAAAAATAACCTAATTACCTAATTTCCCAACGTCCTGTCCAGAACACGGCCTGTACCTACTCTAGGCCTGACAACTTGTGTTGTCTGGGCCAGTCCCCTGACCGACAACACAAAATAAAAGAGCTACCTCCGCTGAGCGCCGCGCGCCAGGCACGTCCCCGCCGACCTCTCCCTGTGGTGTTCCTTAACCTGCACACCCAGCCAGTGCCGTCCTGCCCACTGCGCAGACCGGGCAGCCGGAGCAGGGGGGTTTCGGCACCTCGCCGCGCCCACGGGCAGACACGGGCAGAGCCGGCTCCGGCTGCAGCACTCGGGCCTCTGTACCTCCACTCCCCGGGCCAACCCGAACCCCACTGGCAGGGGACTGTCTGTGCTTACGGATCTGCCCTTAATCCAAACGGAACAGCCGCATGTCATGCTCCAGACAGAGCGTGCAGCCGAGTCCTGTCACCCCATGTGTCCCTAAGGTACAGTTACAAGAAACGATACTCATGAAGGACTGACTGCCTGGGAGGCAAGTGACTCATCCGTTCTGTTCTCTAGATACAGAGAAGCTGGCAACACCTGCTCGGGGTGAGATTGTGTGTGTGTGTGTGTGTGTGTGTGTGTGCGCGCGCGCGCATGTGAGGGCATGTGTGTGCACATGAACACATGTGAGCACGTGCATGCACGCATATTCGTCCGACCACATGGGCGGGGGAGGGCGACAGGCAGAGCAGCAGGGCAGAAAGCACTCCTCAATGGAGAGCGTGCACCGGGGGGAGGGGCCTGTGGCCGGGCCCCAGGCATCGCCGGCCCCACGTGCCTCTCGTGCCAGGAGCGGGGCCGGCGCCGACTGTCATTCCAGAGCTAGGAAGGCCGGAATTTTCCGTGCCACAGAGCACCTAACGCAGGCCAGCTTCCTCATTCCACGACTCCCCAGACAAGCAGCCACGTTCCGACGGTGGAAGAAATACTGCTGGGTGGGGAAATGTGAGAGATTCTTGCAGATTAATTCTGTCCAGACGAATCTTCTGCTCTTGCTCTCACCCGTGATCTCAGTGCCACACCTGTCGCCCTGGACTAAGCCAAAGCGTCAGGGAGCTGCATGTTGACGCAGAACTACCGACCAGGAGACGCCTGAGGCGCTGGGCGTGCTCAGGTGCTGGGAAGACCCTGCCTGTCCCTCCTTTCCCGCCCGGAAGAGACATTTCCCTGCTTGAGCTTCAGGACCACGAGCACCTGGGCCCCACGTGGTGAGTCTGTAGCTTCTGGGGAACCACCATGCATCACACTGACGGTCTCTGTCTGCGCCTGGCCACGGCTGCACCAAACCCGGAGCTCCTCTTTCCCACTGTGGGTCCCCCCGCGTGACTCTGAGCACCAGCCGCCTTCTCCCCACCTGGCTTTCCCTTCTCTCCGACCTCCCTCCCTTATCTTTTATTTAGCTGCATTTATTTTTTCAGGTGCTTCAAATTTGGTTTGGGAAAGAGGCAGAGTATAAATTAATCAATGAAAAATTGAGAAAGCACGCATAAAATAATTTGCCGATACCTCCCTGTGGATCCTGAAGCTTCAATTCAATGTCACAGAGATTGACTGACCAAATAAAAAGGAAAAGCTCAATAACCATATAAAACAGTTAAGTATGCAAACCATTTTTAGTGATAATATGCCATAAAAGAACATACATGAACATTCTCAAGAAAACTGTAAGGATACTACATACAGTGCAGACATTAACATGCCAAGAAAATACCTAAGAGTTTAAAACCTTTCAAAGAGTGCCAAGAGTGAGCCCAATTTCCACAACAAAGAAGAAATGCATTGTTTGATCTCACAAATAAAAGCAGAACTCTGCATCTTCGATAACCCACAGCAAAGCCTCCTCTTCCCAGTGAGACGGCCGAGAAATGTGTGTTCACACCTTTGATAAAGGAGTCAATTTCATCTTCTTCCCGCTGGTCCTTCGCAAGCTACCTCTCACACGGGTGTCACCTTCCTACTGTGAATGGTCTTCCCGGATGTCACTCTCTAAAATCCCAACCTTCAGCTGACTCAGAGGTGGCATCCAGCACCGCAGAAGCTCCGGGACCGAACTACGGGAGGCTAAACAAGACAGGAGCAGAGCCCTGCCCTCGGGAACGCCGGGTAAGGGACATGCCAACAACGGGACAAGCAGCTCCTGACGCGTCCTGTGAACGGTTCCCAGCATCGCATGTCATTTGTCATCGATGCACCATGCCTCCTTCTGTTACTACACTTTCAACCAAGAGAACAATGTTTGACTGCGCTAAAGTCAATCCAAAGGTTCCTGAAATCCAGTAACTACTAACAGCCACTAAAGAGTAACCGTGGCGACGTCTCCCTGGCACACAGTGATTCGTACCTATGGCTCAGAGACAAAATAAGCCGTGTCCACGGTGGCTCGGTGGGGCGCCATGGCCCCGCGAAGCCAAAGGCCGCCGGTTGGGTTTCTGGTCAGGGCACAAGCCTGGGTGGCGGGTTCAGGCCCAGCCAGGTCGTGTGCGAGAGGCAACCAGTCCCCTTTCTCTCTCACACTGCTGTTTCTCTCCCTCTCTTTCCACCTCCCTTCCCCTCTCCCCAAAAATAAATAAATTAGGTCATTTTAAAAAGAAAAGAAACTGGGATTATGACCACTGTCCCTTGCTCTCCCCAGGTTGCACACCACGGGCTCCTGAACACACCAAGCACCTGCCATCCTGTGTCTGCTCAGACGCACACCCGCCGCCAGAATGCCCCTTCCACGCGCACCGCCCCACCCAGTTCTCGCCTGGAAGAATCTCAAGCCTCCTCGCTCTCGGCCCTGGGGAACCCCCCCCCGCCCCGGCCCCCGGGGAACCAGGTCCCACACAAGCCCCACTGGCGCTCGGTCCAGAAGACTGAAATAACGCTTCCCCACACCAGATTACCCTCCCTTTGGTCCACCTCCCCGGCTGGCCCAGGAATCCCCTCAAAATAGAAACCATCGTATCCTTTTCCTTTACCTCTAGGTGTTATGCAAAACTAGCATCCACTCACTGACTACACTTGTACAATGCAAGTTTAACGCGGCCACGAGACTGCCGGCACACTCAGAGTGGCACCGGAAGGGTTCCCGGCCCGTGAGGGGCCCGAAGCTCCCCGGAGCCGCGCTCTGAGCCAGGCGCCCAGCGGACACGAGCAGGGAGCCAGCGCACCTAGCACGGCGCCTGGGCAAGGGAGCTGCAGGGGCGTCAGCTCAGCTCTTCCGCGGCCGTTCAGAGCTGCACGCGTCCTGGACTCAAGACTATGAAAGTGTCCTACGTTGAGAGGCAAATGTCTTCTGACTGACATTTAACAGACGTCCAATTTCTCCTCACCGCTACACAATCAACAGCTATGTTTAAACAGGGCGCGAGGGAGAGGAGTCGTGGCCCGATTCACTGTATTTTAAATTTCTTGAGAGGAGAGACTATTTCTTAGATGTGTTTATCCCTCTAAAAAGAGTTGGGAGAAAACCTTTTCCTCTAGAGCCATATAGTAAACAGCCATATACTAAACATACTTTTATACAATATAAAACATTAACAACCTTCATCAGAGGACAGAAAAACTTTTACTCACTAGCAGTAAATACTATGAAAGAATTTAACTCTCTTCTATACTTTTTTACCTTCTAAATAGCCTTGAAAGAAAGCTCCTTTGGCATTATAGATCCAAAGCAGTCGTAATGTGCCCCGTCTACAGATTCTGAGTTCCCTGTCAAGGCAGCACAGCTAACATGTGTAATGATTAACGACACTGACATAGCTGGTAAAGATCAGCCGACTGCTCCTATATTACAAATGTTATTAATAATAAAAGTTGCTGTCACTTCTGCTTTAACCAAACTAACACAAAATATTCACAAGGACTTGAAAAAGCTTAGCTACTTCATTCACAGGAGGCAGAAAGTACTTAAGAGGACAATTAAAATTCAACCGTTAGACATTCCTGTTAGATAGGAATGCATACCCTGAAGACAACATATAAATGAAATGTTACATTACACACAAAAAAAAGGCTTAAAAAAAGCCTTTGAATTACACAAAAGGTAGAATTTCATCTCCTTCAAGTTCGAACAGATCCGCAGGTCTGATCTTGGCAAGTCCTGTTCGAGTGAAATGATAGAAAACTGCCCATGATCTCGTGCGGCGGGGCAGAGCGGCCTGACACACTGTGCGCGCACACGCCGCCCGGGCGTCCGTCCGCCGCGACTCCGCCGAGGGGGGGCCAAGTGCTAGTCACTGCGAGGCCACGGCTAAGGCCTTCCTACTTGTTAAAAGATTTATTCTAATACCGTAGATTTAATTAAAAACTGGCATGTGTGGTTTACAGTAGTTCAACCACTGTCACTAAGAAAAACTATTAAAATACACACGAGTTCAGAGATTAAAGTAACAATCACTGGTTGTTACTTAAAACCATAAGCCCTGCCTGCTGATCTGACTGGGCTGATAGAGGAAAAACAGACAGCATTTCTAGCTCCTGCCAGAAACAGCCTAGGGCGACACACTGAAATTCATCTCTGCAGACCTCAAAACTCTCCTCCGTCACCTCCTTCCCCCTCTCCTGTCACACCCAGGACGACCCGGCTGTCCCCGAAGCCCGAGCTTACCTAAGTCAGCCGGGAGCCCAGGCTCCACCCTCTGGCCCCTGCGGCTGTAACACCAACCAACAGCAGCCTCAGGCGGCACCTGAAGGAACGTCCTGTCCTAATGAAACTCTTTCCTGGACACTGAAACCTGAAGTTCATGTCGCTTCCCCGTGTCGCAAAACTCTGTTTCCCTCAAGCACTGAAAGATGTGCAGACCATTCTTCAGCGGAAGACCACGGATCTACACCGGATGAAGAAGGGAAACGTGAAGGTGAGGAGCAAGAGGGGCAGCACACAGGAAGTGGGGGGCCAACGGGCTGTTCCCAGGTGTCCGGCCCGTGGGCCTGTGGGCCCCATG